CCCCAAAACCCCAAAACCCCAAAACCCCAAAACCCCATAATGAAATTTAGATATTGAATCATGAGAATTAAAGAGTGCTTATTTAAGAAGTTGGATTCGATATGCTATATATTTTTTGATATGGTCTGAACAATTAAGAAAAAATGGACGACACTTATATCCCGGAAGAACCACTATGCACCAGCCTCAACTCTCTCATTTTGAACCAGGGAGAAGGAAGTCAAGGGTTGAATGGGGCGATCCCGTTTCATTGAGCTAAAGAGAATATGGGTAATGAACAGGAGATAGGGATTTTACAGATGTCTGAGTTGGAGAATGAAATGGAGAATCATATCAATGCTAAAAACCTGCCTCTTGATTTTGTCCATGGAGATGTGGAAATGGGAAACTCCGAGTTGGACCAGCTTGAATACGAAAGCCAATCAAATGTTCAAGCTGCATCCAATAATGATCTCCAAGTGGATTACCAAGGGAGGTTCAACTATCAAGCCCAGTGAAGCAATCAAGCATTATTAAACCAGCAAAGTGATCCAAAATGAGAAGACCAATCTTCGTATGCATATGATATCCATGATACCTCTCAGCTGCATGCTGATAGAGGTAAGAATATAGAATTCAAGTTTCATAGTTCTCAAGTTGCGACTAAACAGATGCAGAATGGAGAAAAGCAATTTAACTGTGAGAAAATTGATGATGGTTCAGACTTCCCTCTCGATGCTAGTATTTATTCCATCGAAGATACAAATGATAGCGTGGAGCTGATTGAGGATATGAATCAGATCGATCTGATATCAAATACTATCCCCGAAGACCCAATATTAGTCCAAGAACCTCCAAAGAACTATATTTCTTATGATGAGTCAGAGATCGAGCCTGATATCGTGTTCAGTGGTCTTGATCTTAACAACTCACAGTATATTAAAGAAACACTTGAGAAGTGCTTGTTGAGTGCCAAGAACACTGTCAAGATCTGTAACTACAGCATTGGGCAAGGAGTCATCAGTCCAAGTTTGCTTAGCAATGTAATCTACAACATTGGGGATTCGAAGAAGCTGCAAGTGATCACAGACAAGTGTCAGTGGAGTAACCTAGAGAAATACTCAGAACAATTTCGAACTGAAGGCATTGAAATAAAAGTCAACAAGCATAGCAATGTGTTGATGCATTGAAAGTTCATGATCATAGATAGTAAGACTTTAATTCACGGAAGTATGAACCTTGGCAACCAGAGCATGAGAAATTACGAGCACTTTATTATTACCAAGGATAAGTCGCACATTAGCAAGTTTAAACAAAGATTTAACAATATGTGGGGCAAAAAACGTCATTTTGTTGAACTCCCTCATAATTCTCAAGCATAAACCTCTTTTCTTAATTAAATTAAAATAATCTCAAAAGTGTTGTAATTTTATTACCTTCTTTCTTCTTGACAGAGATAGGGAAGATTTCTGACAAGTATATCTTTGCTGTTAAATTTAAGAATTAACTGGCTTAAATTTATTAATTCCAGCATATAGAAATCTTTGGGGTTTTGGGGTTTTGGGGTTTTGGGGTTTTGGGG